GAGGGGTGGTGATGGTTACGTTACCTTACATATAGGGGCACATTACATATAGGGGTGAGGGGGAGGGGAGGGGTGGTGAAGAATTACGTTTTGTTACGCGATAAATAAATGTATTTCTTCTTTATAATAATATATATAATAACAATATAATAACAATAACGCCTTTATGGTTTCTGGTTAGTGCGTAGCAACATGATCATGATTTAGTTTAGGATGATCACTCGTAAAAGTGTCAATATTCCAGATTACAATCTCTTTGGTTTTTTCGYAATAAGTTTGTTGTCTCAAATTTCTTTTGAAAGTAATTATACACGTGCAGTGCTTACCGTTTAAAGTTATTCAAGTACAATTTAGTKTACAACTTTCTTGCAAACTTTATACCTGAGGAACAATGTTTTCATACGCAGACGTTGTAAAAGGTAAGAAATACTTCAACAGTCGCTTTCGCCGGTTTATACTATTGAAAGAAATATATCATCATGAAGGAAATTTGTCATAGGTGTCTCGCCTTCAAAAAGCATTAACTCATCTCATRGGGGGCTGATTCCAGAATCGCGAAGGTAAGACATTCTTTTCTTCTGTGCTCATACGACAATGTGCCTTTTAAAGTATTATGCAAATTAGCCACGAGGCTATAAAACATTAAAAGAAACGGCATATTTTCAATGACTAGCAAAACTTCTTGCTTGATATTATTTAAGAGATTAAAAAAGATAGATCTTTAAATTGGGCTGTTTCAGTATAGATCCCTTTTTTAGTAATTATAAAGGAGTTATCTTACTCGTTTCACGTATATTTGCATAACAATATGAAGACAATCATCCCGGCTGTCGTGAATAATGAATATTAGGGAAAAAAAAGCATGTATTAGGAATAACAACTATTTAAAAAGAAAATATATATTTCTTTTTACAGCAGCAAACTTGTATCGAGAAGTGTAGAGGTTGGCCCTGTTGCGTCACGAAAGCGGCGTTCTATTCAATCGGCGAACAAATTGAAAGGTCAGTCAGAAAGTGTCACGCTATATTTTTCAGTTTCGAAATACAGTCACTGGTTGTCCTCTCTTTAGATAAAGATAAATGCACTATTAGAATTTGCAGCTTTTTAAACAACTTTTGATTTTATTTTTATTCCAAAATGAATTCACCAATTAAGTGTAAAAAGGGGAAAAGATGGTCGATTCTCTTGCGCGACAGACCGCAACATTAAAATAGTTCAGCACTGACACGTCTCTTGACTCATCTGTTTCAACAACATATCTGTGAAAATCGTCGGAAAATTCTGATGCGACATGAGCCGAGGAGTTAAAGAAGATGATTCTGGGTGTTAAGTTAAAGTTATTTTTTTTATTTCCTCGTACTTACGGTGGGGGTGATCGTAGGAAATATAAAAAAAATACCCCTCAAATAAAAAAAAAAAACGAAAAAGGGCATAGCAACGCAATATTTTCACCCCTAAAAGATACCAACTAAATTATGTTGTTGACATATAATTAAAAGCGATTAAAGGAGTGATCTGATCGACTGACGTTGTTATCGTTACGTATTAAAATGATGATTCTGTTATAAAAGGACACCAGACTATCCGGTAGTGGCTCAAAAAGCATTCCATTTCCATTCCATTTCCATGTAGATTTGTTTGAATTCTGATTTGTGTTGCTCTAAGCAAATGATGTCTACATGACAAACTAAAATCAATGTATATTCCTGGAATGGCCTGTCAATTACGACATAGTACGCCGTACATATTAGAGAGTTGTAGATACGCGTTTACGGTGAACGCCAAACGTCAAAACTGATCACGCGATCACTGTCGTTTTTTCTTTATCACAGCACCGTTTGTGTATAAAGAAGCGATGGAACGTTTTTTACGCCCTTGTGCAAACAACTTTGTGCATTGCGTACTRTGTTCAAAACACTTAATGAATAGGTGCTTCAGTTTATTGTTGCATTTCGTTCCCGTTATAGTATATTTGTTCGCTCAATAGCAATTATTTTTAGCTTGAATGAATACTTCTTTCCGAATGATAAGAACAGCAAAATGCGTATTCATAGAAGAAGACACGAGTCATCACGTGACTGTTGTACTGCGTAGCCCGACAAAATGTTCTAAAATATTTACTTTTCTGAAGGTCTATTTCTCCTTATTTTCATTTCTGTAATTATTTAAAGGCAAAATGTGGCGGAAGATTATAAAGGTTAAGGTAAGATATTTGTTGCTTAATAGTGGTATCCTATATTTAACAGTTAGATTTCGAGGGCAGGTGGACTATGAGCTGATAGTCCATGAGGCCTTCAGCTCGTATTCCACGAATAATAATGAATGAAATATATAAATAATTTAATGTTCTTTTTTTTTTGCTAAAAATACGCAAAAAGTTGTTGTTTTTTGCTAGTCGAGGACTATTGAACATAGAACCCGAGTAGCATAGCCAATAAGAATGTTGGATTTGCAATAGTCCACTAGTATGGTAATRCTAATATCTRCAAAAACTACTAAACACAAAGGGATCGAAAGAATTTCGAAGAAAAGAGATTTTTGGAACAGACGAAATTTATCAAATTTCGAAAACGCAAACTACA